ACGCGAGCCGTTCACAGCCCGGCACACGTATTTGTAAAATCTAAGTGACTCGTACAACATGGAATTCATATAAAACGGAATTATCAACAGTGTTATAGGGGAGTCGACTTGTATTAAATTATAATTTATATTCTTAACATTTGATTAGATTATAAAAATTAAATTATTAGTTAAATATTTAATAAATTTATTAAAAATTTAATCAATTTTAAGCATAGATCGTAATACAATTTTATTTTTTAATTTTTTAATTTTTTTGTTTTTTATACTAAAAATATTACTAATTTATATTTTAATATATAAAAGAAGAGTTGTATTTTATAACGAAATACGAACATTTTTCAAAAATATACATCCTGAACACATTATTTTAGTGGGAAGAATGTGATACTCAAACAGGTCAATAGTTGCGAAACAGATCCCATCTGTTATGGAGAACAATAAAAAGAATTTCTCAAAAGAATGCTATATATATATATACTAGTATTTTCAATGTTTTTTATAGTAAAAATTATTGAATTTTTAAAAAAATTTTATAAAATAAAATTAAATTTTATAATATGCATACAAATGTATTCTGTCAAATTGTGTGTAGTATGTGTACTGTACAAATATATATTAATTCATAATTATATATTGTTAAATCAGCATTTTATATGATTACAATTATATTAAATATTTATTTATTTTAATATGTATAAAATTGCATATATTATTTAAATTTTAATAAGACTTGTACATAAGATCATTTTGAATTTTTTTATTATTATATTATGAAAAAAATACATAATAAAATTAATTAATTATTTTTATTCAATTTCTTTATCTTTCTTTAAATTTTATTAGTATCATTTAAAATTATAATTTACATAATAAACTTCTATAAATATATAATAATTTATTCAAATTCTTTTCGAGAAAATCTGTATTCGTGTTTATATAAATTTACTTGGCATTTTCTAAATGTAATTTTAAGCAAATTCGTATTTATATGTATATTTTTATTTATTTTTTTATTTTTTTAAAGGAAAAATAAAAACATATATACAAAAACTTTTACATTTAAAAGTTTATTTAATAATTTAATTAGGTATAATGCAAAAATATTGAAAATTTTATATCTAAGAAAAATATTTGAAGAAAAAACAAAGCTGTTATTTGTAAGTTTGTTCATAATTTAAAAAAGAAAAATATTTTCTAGATAAAAGTTGTAAACTTACACAGGAAAATAGAGGAGAATAAGAGTTACTAGTTCCCTTCGGGTGTTTGTTCATCCAAACAAAAGAAAAATTCAAGTAAATTTTAACGGTTTGGTGATTTTCTCTTTGAAAAAATAAAAGAGTAAAAATTTATTTCTCTTCTTTAATGTTAACTTGTAAAAAAACATGCTGATTCTAACTTTTACTTATCTTATTATCAACCTGAAAATTTTAGAAATAACTAAGCTATTTGTTCTTTACACTTTCTAGATAAAAATATCACTTGCTACATTCAATATTTCCTTTAAAAACTTAATTTATTCATGAGATTCAACACATAAATCAACAGTTTAGAGTTGAGTAATATGGTAAAAATACTAAAAATATATATAAAATTTAATTATAACTAGATGATTAAATTAAATGTTTATATGTTAAATATCATATTAGAGAAATCTCATAAATTAATATTATCATAAATAAAATAATTTCTTGAATATTAATTAATATGGAAAATTTTTAAAAAATTTTAAATGTTTTGGAATATGTAATGTAATAAATAAATAAATATAAAGATTTACTGTAGAACTAAGTTACAATAGAATATTTAGAAAAAGTTAAGTAATTAATTAATTTAATTAAAAAAAACACTTTTCTGAAGTTCGTTAAATTTAATTTTTGTAATTCTTACAAATAACTTTTAAATGTAGTAATTAATTTTTAAATAATATATTTGTTTTTATTACACATAATTCAATTATTTAAACAATCTTCTAATTTATTTGTAACTGTTGAATAGGTCCAGATTAGAATAAATCAATAAAAGTATCATTTGAATAAATAGATAAATATAAAATATGTTATGTTAGGTTGCCCAAAATTAATTTGGTGTTTAATTTTTTTTGTTTTTTTTTATCTTCTGCTTGGAACCCGAAGTCATATTAGCTGTTGAACCAATCTGCAGACGAAGTGTCAGCCGAACTAATCAGCAGAGGTCAGAGGTTAGGAGAAAACAGAGCGCAATGGCCGGCGAATCTCAAAAAATAGAAGGAAGAAGGTGGGAAAAAAGAGAAACAAAGGAACACAGAAGTTGAAGAGAGGTTTTTGGCCTGGATTGCTGTCCGTCATCAGAATAATGTTCTTAATGAAAGACGAATCATTTACCTGCTTATACTCTAACTCTATTCATCAAATCCTATTTGTTAATATACACTGTATATATTATACTACCGTATATTATAAGTGAGAAGATTGTATGAATTTGGATAAAAATTCAAACTTACTTTTTATATTTTGGGCATTAATGATGCTAATAATTTTATTCTATAAAGTAATTTAACTCATTGCTATTTTGGCAACGAATCAAAATTTAAAAATATCATGTTAGGTTGGATCATATGGTTATTGCAACAAATGATAAATTAGAGTGTTTAATTAACAGACAAGGCGATAGACTTGGTCATAGAATATTTTTTCTATTACTTCTTTAATAAATTCGCTTTGTGGATACTAAGACGAATTTTTCATGGCCTTATCAAAAACCCATAAAAAGCCTAGATGATGAGCCCACACGATGTGACGTCCTACTGGTGAGAGACGGGATCCGACAAATCACCTAACATCGTAAAAATGAAATAGTAGTTGAGATCAGAGGATGTAGCCCTGGTTCAGAGTGCTGGACTGTTAAGAAAATTCAAATCAAAGAATTCATGTTGCGGGAACACAACATGAATGCTGAAATGGATGAGTGGTATCATAAAGAAAGATAAGATGAGAAATAGTTACATCAGGGAAAGCTTGGTTATTACGGAGATAGAAGAAAAATTGTGGAAAAATCGACTGAGGTGGTTTGGGCATGTGCAACGCCAACCAGAAACAGCTCTAGCACGAAGAGGCCTGGGAATGTCAGTGAAATCGGCAAGAAAGCGAGGAAGACCTGGAAAGACTTGGACGTGGTCCTTAAACGTGATATAGAGGAGTGAGGCGTCTCTGCGGAAGTTGCTTTAAACAGGACAGAATGAAAGAGAAAGACTTGAAGTGCCTATCCCATATAGTTGGGATAACATCACATTCGTAATCGTACCATAAAAACATTGGATGCTAATCTCTTATGTGTTTACATGCAATCTGTCGGTCGAAAATAAAACATAAGTCTTCCATTGCTCGTGGACAACGAAAGTTCCGTAAACTCTATCCCGGGTTACCTAGAGAAATTATGGATCTTTATATATCACGACCACCATTCAAATGGATCGAAAGTTTAAAGAATCATACTAGGCCAAAAAATTTTGTGGTAGGATATCAGATGAATATTTCTTCTCAAACCATGTCAGTTCTTTGTTCAGTCTATGAATCGGCGACTAATTACTTTACTTTAGGATAATATGCGAAGA